CTGTGATTTTTCTTAGACCCTCTCCCCCCATGCAGTACATGACAATAAAATTACCCTGCCTGTTCCTTTCCCACAGACAGCCGTCCAGGCTTGTCAGTCAGCATCACGTGCACTGTCCTTTGTCAAGTACGTTTGGGACCTAATGTGTGATTCAGGAAGGATCTGTTGTGCTGTAATTGACCTCTGTTGGCCTTCAGGAGAAGGATTCTGGTTTCCATGCTGCAAATCTTGTCCCTGCTTGGTTATTTGGTCATGGTTTGACTCTTCAGGCCTTCAGAGTTATGGTTGCTTTGTAAGGTTTTGCAAACAAAGCCAGTTTGCCCAAGATACTGGTGACGTGTTGGTTCCAGACAAGCTTCCTTTTACTCCCAACTCAGGATTAACTGCTAGTTCTGATGGACTCTTTTGTTTCCGTTCTTGCTACAGACTTCCTGTTTCTCACCTCTGTTTAAGTGCTAATTGTATCTAAGATACTTTTAACCTTCTCTGTCACTGTCATCTGACTTTCCACATTTTCACTTTAAAAGAAGACAAATTCCACCCACATTTTCACTTTAAAAGAAGACAAATGTTAATATTGGATCCACTTCTCTTTATCATTTTTGTCCCCGCTGACCCTTCTGCACAGTGTACAACCAGACTTGCACCAGTAACTCAGATGAAGAGCCTGCTGCATTCACCAGCACTTATTAACAAGGCTCATGTCTTGAAAACACAAGCAATAGACCTCTGACATGCCTGCAAGGTCTATGTCAGATAAAACCCTTATGCTTTCTCATCTTCCTTCTCAAAAGACTTTACATATACACTAAAATGTACACTCTTGGTGCTGAATTTGAGCAAGTCAAGCCAGGATCAGAACTACTTCCAGGCAGGAAGCTTTGTAATCAAATGTTTCTCCTCGCAGTAAGTAAGTCTTACTGCTTACTATGCAGTATGTACATCCGACACCAGGAGCAGGATATCAGAATTGGCTGCCAGCTGCAAGTCAACTGGTTTATTCTTCTTGCCAGCACAGATGCTGACGTGAGATGCTCTCTGCTCCGAAGCAAAGTCCGTGGGATGTGGAATTGCTCCAGGAATCCTGATCTATAGGAAAATCATGCATCGTGCAACTGATATGCTCAGTGAGTAGTTGTGCACGTGGTTACTGAGCATTTCAGTACGTTTCATAGACACATTAGTTCATCCTCGAGGAGAGTTCTTAGAAAAAAGACAAGCAAGGAGGAAGACCGTACCATGGCAATGATTTTCAGCCTGTGGGCAGTGCATGACTTCTGTGGAGCCAGACCTTTTTTAGGGGGCTCAACTCCACATGCAGGGGACCGAATCTAGATCAGGTAACTTTTAAAAGGCCGGAAAGGTATAAGCATCTAAGCATAACTCTGGAGAGAGTCAAGGACTGAGGGATGAGGAAGACGGACTCCTCAAAGTATTGTCCCAAGAAGTCAGATGTACCCTACCTTGCAGGGGACGGTAAACTTTGTGGAGGACAGGTATGTTTACATACTTTTCCTTTCGAGCTCTTTCCTCCAGAATATGCTAGATTTGCTTCATGAATATTGAGTGGCCGTTGCATACCCTGCCTAGCTCCTAGCCAGCAAAACTGCCATGGGGTAATGGGAACTGGCTCTAACAGAAGTAATGGCTCATAGATCAAGACTGGAAAATGATGCCCTCTCAAGAGTGGAGGGGTTAGAGGGGAAGGCATTCAGCTGTGAAAAATGCCTCCTAACCGCAGGACAGAGCTCTCTCCTTGCATTGCCTGTAGCAGAGAAGTGATCTTTTAGGTTTATTTTCCCACCCAGCCCTATAGACCCAAAGTCAGCGTTGGATCTTAGTGTTCCACCCCCTTTTTCACATATCTGGTTCAGCGCGCTCTGGCAGAGAAGGAAAGACACTAAGGGAAGAATGCACCAAGTTTTCTCTAAAACCTATAGTCAAATAAGATTGCTGTCAGCAACTTTGAGACTGAGACCTCCTGCCAGTCATGTTGGTGTGCAAAAGAATCAATTATCTGTGCTTGAGTGCTTGGCTTTGGAACCGCAACATCCACTTGAGGTGTCTTGAAGGAGCAGACTGACAGACCTTTACCAGCTGCAGTTGAACTCTTATCTTCCCAGGTCTAACAGATGGATCAAAACCAGCTCTGCCAGCAGGTATCCCCTGCATGCTGAAGAAATGAAGACCAAGCTTATCTTGGTCTGAACTTGTTGTTCTGCTTCTGCCTTCACAAAGGAAATGGCTTCCATTTTTCATTAATATTTTTTGTATTTTATAATGTCAGTAATTAATAACCTCCTGGTCAAACATTTCAGGACATTTAATGACAAGCTGTGAGAAGGGACCTTGGCTTCACCTTATGTCTTCTAGCCTTGCATAAGCTGCCAAACTCATTACTGGCAAGTACAGAGGCAATAATGTTACCTGGGGGTTAGCAAGGTAAAGTTTTCCTAGGTCCTTCTTCTCCTACCTGAATTCTGGGCAAATAGGGTTCACAAATCCCTATTTATGCAAGCAGAAAATGTCATTATTCTGTCCAATTATAATCCCAAACTTAAAAATTAATTGAGGCAGGTATTAAACTAAGCAGGTTTTGCTTGAGTAAATATTTTCCATTTTGGAGCTTAATCTATTCACTTAATAATCTGAAGCAGTTTTATTAATTTTTTTGGTTTGCAAAAAGTAATAATGTCTCTTCCATTAGGAGCTGTCATTGGCTTAAGAGGATTTTACTCCCATTTTATGGCTTGGCTCAAAGAAAATTTATTCTTGCAATAGGTTTAATGATTCTTAGCTAACATTGTCTTCCCAGCTGCAATTGGACTGTAATAAAAAAACCTTTAGCTTTTGTTAGACTTGCACGTTCTTGGCTGCCAATAATGATTAATCTTTCCCCCTACAAGATCATCTTATTCCTTGGGTTTGACTTAGGAGCTGCCATTCCCTCCGGAGCTTGGTAAGTGCTTTCTCCCAGAGAAGCTCTGATGCAGCACAGGTGCGACCTGCAATCCCTTTCTTTGTAGTCTGTCTTTGCTCCTTAATTGCTGATCTGTGGCACTCTGCTTTCTAAGCTTCTCTGCACAGGAATGTGATTATGGGATGATGGAGAATTAATTGAAAGAGGAATTCCTGAATACTTCCATGCGTGGAAGCCCCTGCCTCAGAGCCCCTGCCTGCCTGGTGGGGAGGGTTGTCCAAACAGACTGCATGGTGTGGAGCGAGCGCGGTGAAAGGCAGGGCTCAGACTCCTCTGTGACCTTGGGCAAGTCGCACACCCAAAGAGCAAATAGCTGCGGTGGGCTAAGACGCTGCGACCTCCCGGCGTTGGTTAAAAGCCCTCTCCCGCAGGGTACCATCCCCACAGCTCTCAGCAGGACAGACCAGATGCTGCTCTCTCAGCCCTCCTAGTGTGGAGTCTCCAGCTCGTCTCGTCAAAGTGCTTCATGTCTCTGTGTCAGTCGCCTTTTGGTGCACAGGGAGGGACAGGGATGCCTGAACTTCAAAGGTGTGGGGGGATGCTGACGGAATAGGCTTGGCCTGGGTACATGTCTGTGAAAGTGTTACAGCAGATGATTTTGGGGCATCGCCAAACATATGGGATTGGAGCTTCATGCTGAGAAAACTTGTCTTTTAATTCATGGCCATCTTGGCAGTGTTTTAATGGTTCATAGTAATAAAAACCTTGGGAACAGGAAGGAAAGAGGTGCTTAACTCATTTCAGAAAGACCTTCGGCATTAACAGGACGCACATGCTTTCTGATCAGGTTGTCACATCTGGCATAAGTGAATTTGCAGTATATGAATTTGCTGTACTCTAACTGCCTTTGCCTGTACGATCTTTTGGGCTAAATTATCACACTAGAGATTTTGCATAAAAGAATCTATTCCCCCTGCCCTCTTCCCATGCTCTGAAAGGCAGCTGAAGGGCAGAACATAGCAGCTGACTGTACAAGGAGAAGTGGTCTGCAGTATCTCCAATTAAAACTGAAGTGGAAAATATATGAGACATTTGGGCTAGCACCTCGACTTTCTTTTAGAACGATCTTGCTAACAAACATGAACGGTCAGGACTGTTGTTTTACCTCCGTCAGAGTCTTGCTGCCTACCAAAGGACGGTTGTCAGCAATGAGAGCTGCGGTGCTGGTGCTAACACAGCCTCACTCCAGGCACAGACAAAGGCAAACTATGTTCCGCATCATTTCAGAAGCTAGGGTTAAGTATTGGGTCGGTCCAAGCAGGCTTTATGAACAGCCCTAACGTAGCAAGCCCATGTGGGTGCAAGGGGGGAGCATAAGTGCTTTTTGGAAAGGAAATTTGCTTCACTTTCTAATTTCTAAAGGCTCATGATAAATCACAGCCTGAACACTCAGAAGGAGAAGCCCCAAGGACTTCACTGCCCATCTCACAGTGAAGTAATTGGTGTGGAGGTGAGAATGCTCTCTGATATGAGAGTCTTTGGTAGGCACTAGTGCACACTGAGTCACCAGGAAGGAAGCCAAGACTCATCATGGCTTTCAAACAGTGTGTACCTCCTGCCACAGTGGGTTTCTCAAGGTTTCGGGAGCACTGAGGCATCCCTACAGATTGATGCTCCTTGTGAAAGGGCTTGAATCTGAAGGCGCCTTTTCAGTATGACTGAGCCATGTTTGGGGCAAACGAAACTATTTGCAAAATTCTAGTCAAATTCAACAAGTTGTTTCAGCTAGGAAAAAAGACCCAGCGCTCCAGTGGGAGCAGAGCTTCAGCCTTTTCTGACTTTTTAAAACAAAGTCTCTCAAGTTTTCCTTTTGTTTAGAAATTTAGCTGGATGACGTTTTTTAAATGCACAAAATCTGAAACCAAAACTAAAAAAAATGTATTTTGTGTTGACCAGTCTGTGTGGCTGGCTCTGAAAGATGCTTTTGGATTGTTTTTTTGCTTCAGTGGAGGAAACTGTCAGACTTTTGTTATGGGTTGGCCTAAGAATGATTTTTTTTCCCTTTTTTTTTTTTTTTAAGTTCAGTTTCTGAGAGATCCTCCAGTTTCCTCTGACATGCCTGTAAGCTGAGATTTCAGCTCTTTTGGGAGAACCCATCATTCTGTTCCTTGTTGGCAGAAGGATTTGTCACACAACAAGGGACACGGCTGGGCCCTGGAAGACAAACTGGGTGGAGAGACAAAGGCAGAACTGGCTCTAGAGAGTGGACGCTTTCTGGTGACAAAGTTGAGACTAAACGCAGATGAACATCATTTACCCCCTTGTGATATGAGCAAAAAGGGTTTCCTTGCTTGGCCTGGAACACCGAATGGGTGAGTTTGCCCACTTCTTTTTTTTTTTTTTAATCATTGTACTTGTTTTCCTTTCCATAACTGGGTCAGGGCTGCTGTATCATGTGTCGGGAATATGCTGTCTCCTTTCTTGCTGTTCTGGCAAGCTGCCCCTCCCCATGTACACTCCTCTGACTCTATTTCTGGGCTGAGAGCACTCATCGCCATCCTTCAGAGATGGCCGTATTTTCTCATCTCCTTCTCAGCTATTGAAGTAGTGTAACAGAACCCTTTCTACAGCGATCAGGTCTGCGAGTGCGATGCACATCGTGAGAGGTACTGGTAAAGGGTGTATGTTACTTTTAACCCTTCCGTTTCTTCCACTAAAGCCTTTCATGTCCTTGCTTCAGCCCCACAGACAGGCTGGCTTGTGCAGCCACATGGCTTCCCCATAGGTGAGCAGCATCGCTGCATCAGTGGCCCACGGCTGTCCTGGGTATGTGGTAGCTGGGATCACGGGTATTTCTGCTGAGCTCACTACACTGTGCTGACACATTGCTGTACGCCTAGGCACTTCAAAGAGATTTCCGTGGACAGGAAGCAGGGCAGATTAGAGGCACACTGAGGCTTTTATTTTATGCCAGGACTTCTAAATGTTCATGCTGGTATTTCTGAGGCCTCATTTTTAACCACTCTTAATATATGTATATAATAGAGCAGAAGGCCAGCCTCACTGACTCTGTGAGCTGCACACCGAGTCTTCGTGGGATGAGAGTCACAAGGCACTTCACATGCGTCAGAGAGCCAAGGGGCTCCAGGGTGGTTCATGACTGGCTCCTTCAGGTCTGCTTCCTTTAGCAGCTGGGACTCAGATCACCTGGCAGCCCCTGACCAGCTTCACCACCGCACGCACTGCTCTGGAGCCTGAGGCTGGCTGTCCCTGGCGTGTGTGTCTGTACTAGCTGACATGGCTATGCTGCTTTGTGCCCTAGGGACATGCCAACTCCCTTGGAGTGTGCTCAGGGAAGCAGCATGTGTGTATGCTGAGGTAGCCAGAGGTCCTGGCAGGCTGGGGGAGTGGGTGGTGCTGGGATTTTGCTGCCTCTTCCTTTCCCTCATGCGTTTGCACCCTTTCCAGACATGCGTCAGCTCCACTCCCACAGGAGCACTGGGAAGAACATGCCCCAGCTGCTGTTCCTCCATGGTTTCTCCCCAGCAATGTAAACAATTTACAGGAGACTTTGTAAACAGCAGATTTTGTTTAGGATATTGTCTGCATTCCCGCCTCAGCAGTCCCTTATTCTGCAGCACAGGGGGAACACTGAGCTGCTGGCTGTAGGTCTGTGGCTTAGTTGTTAGAGGGAAAGATGGTGATGACCGAGAGGAAGGAGTTGTGTACACTCCTGCATTCTCTGTGAGCCTGGTGGGTTTGGGGGATCACACCAGGGTCACACGCACACACCACAGCTGCATGGAAATGTGTCTGCATCTGACAAGGAGGAAAGTTGGCATGGGATGCAGCTGCTGCTGAGCCCTTTGTGGGACGTAGTTACATGAAAGACCAGAACAACCGTGAACGGAGAGCTGTTTACGCAGCATCCGGGGCCCTCGGAGATAGATGAGAAATCTTCAAAGATAGGAGCTTCATTTCAGAAAAGTACTGCCTGTTTGAGAAGTCTCAGAAACTCACTTTGACTCCCTGGGGAAGCTGGTTGTCCATTCAGGGAAATAAGGTTGTTAAATCAACTCTGCCTTTGTCCCGTGGGAATACCCTCTGAAGATGTCTGTTCTTCCTTCACAGCTGTTCACTTAGGGATTCTGCCTGTGCTCATCAGTGGGAGATCAGCTTTTCTCTCTCACTCCTAGGCCTTTGTAAAGGAGCACTGAAGGGAGAGAGCAATTCCTACTCGAGTTTCTGCATCTGCCGCAGAAGCTTTTTCAAACTGGAACTGTACTTACTCCCAAATAACCGTTAAACCTCAGATGCACACACGAAAGAAAGACATAAGCAGTGGCAAGGCTGGATGACGGGAGCTCGAAATAGGTTGATGTGCCAAGAAGAGGGTCCACGGGTGGGGTGAGCAGCAGACAGACGTGATGAGAAGCTGTCAGGGGAGCTGGGTGGAGGGGAGACCTTCCCCAAGCTGCCAAATGTCTACTGCTGACCTAAGTGAATTTGACCTCCTTCTGCTAGTAAAACATTGCTGCTGCAATGCAGCTGTGAGAAGTAGCCACCCAAACAGGAGAGAATATGAGAGGACAGCTCTCAGGAAGCTCCTGGGGCTGGCTGACAGACCTTACAGAGGAAGGAACAAAGCGTGAATGTGGCAATACACTTAGTGTCTTTCCTTTTCAGTTTTTCTGTTGTTGTGCTTGACTCTGGGCAGTTTAAATCTGTGACAGGCCCTCGAGTTGCTACCTGTGTATTCAAACTTTCCTCACAGACATGAGGGATAGCTCTTGCAGGCCTGCCTGGCTGCCCGTGTTGGGCTGTCAGGAACTGACAGCAGATCATTCTGCTGTTTGTTTGCCCCTGTTCTCTGCCAACCACAAGTGTGAGTCTTGAATTTAAACATCCTGAATAGAAAGGACAAAATCTCCAAATGACACCTCCAGTTCGTTGCCAGGGGATCTTGCATCCAGAAGACACAAACAGCTTGACAAAGCCAAACACTGGGAGAAGCAATCTGACCACATTTTCCACAGCGTTAGCTTCCCAAATATGTGGCTGCTGGTTCCAATTCACAGTCAGTCTCTGACTCCCCTGTTAGCATTGCCGTGTGAGGGGCTGGTGACACACGGTGGCCGTGTCCACGTGTTCAGCATCACTAGGAAGGAAAGGCCAGCAAGGTCTTCTAGCCTCTTGTGTCTCTGCTTCCCTCAGAGACATGGATGTATTGCACAGACTCAGCCTGGCCTAGGAACAGTCAAGAGGGCTGAATTTTGGACATCTCTATGGATTTTTGAAAAATTGCGTTAAAGCCCTGTTTTCCTTTGGGGGATGTGGATAGTTGAGTGTTGTCCAGCAGGATTCTGTTGACTTTCTATTGAGCTTAAACTGTAAATATTTGAACAAAAAATTATCTTGTCTTTGCCTTAGCAAAATTTAATCTTTCTGTACATTACAAAATCTGGCTTAAGTCACAAGTGAAGATGAGAGTAGTGGTTTCAGGCAATTCCCTAAGGGGTGTTTGTCCTCATAGCACAGAAAACAGTTTGTTGTCCATCATGGTTGCCAGCCTGTTCATCAGGAAGGTCTGGAAGGGCAGCCAGGGTTGCTGGGCAGGATGGAGGTGCGTTGGCTGAGTTTCACGAGGTCCCGAACAGGAGAGCAGGAGGGGTTCAGGTCACAATGGGTGAGCTGAAGCAGAAGGTGGGAGGCACAGGGCTGTCAGAAGACGTGCCAGTTCTCACATCTTCCTGTTTCCTTGCGAAGTCCAGGAGTTTGTCTGTAGCATGCGACCCATTTTGCTATAAACCCAAATGCGCAAGCCAATTGTTAGACCTGCTTGGGTAAAATCCACCTCTGATTAGCTCTCTGCCCTGCTTGGTTTTCTCTTGGGGGGACAGTGAGAGGTTATAAAAGGGGTTCAGTTCACACCTCTCTCCTCTGGACCTTCACCTTTGTCATGCAAAAGGACGGTGACTAGGAAGCAGGAAGCTCTCCTGCTACCTCTGTCTTCCGCTCCACAGCTCCTGTATGCCTACTTCAGTCCTGGAGAGTTATGCTACACCCTGGGATAGGGATACAAAACTCCCAGAACAGGGCTGGGTCCAAGGCATAGAAGAAGGGTACAAATTGTTGAGGAGAGGCCGCGCAGATGTGTGGATGGAGGGAGGCAGAAGCAATACCAAAGTAGAAGTGGGAGGAACAAAACGGCCATGGGGTCTATGAGGCAGGTGAGTATGAGGAAAGTGCTCCCACAGCCCCCAAAGGACCACCCAGGACTTGCACACACTGGGGTTGAGAAGAGGCAGAAGAATTTAGATATTAGAAGCAGACCTGAACATGCAATATCATCCTCATAAAAATGTATTTCCTAAATAACCTCCTGCTCTGGAAAACTCTGACAGGGCTGGGCTTCCTCAGAGCCGGCAGCAGTAGCAATGCAGGATGTGAGCAGGGGAAGGGACACCAGGTCAGGAGCAAGAGGCAGGAGCAGAGCCAGCTGCCAGGGCGGTAGGTCCGGACCAGGCCACCAGCAGAAAGTCATTGCAGTTCTGCTTGGGGAACATATATAAAGCAGTGATGTTTTCAAATAAGCAAGGAACTGACAGCTGCCTCATGCAGCCCTCAAGTGCCTTGAAATCCCACCTTCCTTTACAATAAACAGAGGCCTTGCTCAATTAAATACCTTGAGTGGAAACATCTGGAAGCTCCCAGCATTCACCCCAAATTTGCCTTGCTCAAGACACCCAAGCAGACAGGTCTGTTCCTGGCTGCTGGCTCTGCCGCTTGATAAAGAGGCTTGGGCAGCCCGGCTATAGCATTTGGAGCTGGAGCTTTGCAGGCCTGTGAGGCAGCTGATTGGGGGGGAGGGGGGGGATGGATGGGTGGATGTTCTGGGACAGGCACTTGATTTCCCTTTCCTTTTTGTACGCGGTCCCACTTCTGAAGGGAGTGAGCACAGGAGGTTGTCCAAATGAGCTCCCACGTTTTGACCTGCGATGTCCAGGAACCCAGGAAGGAGGGAGTTAATCACATGTAGTCCGGTTCAGCCACGCTCCCTGTATCAGGCTTTTGCTTTGGCATAAGGACTGATTCCTGCTATGTCTCGCGTTCTTGCTGTGCGCTCTGGCAGAGGAAAGCCCTGCTCTGTTGTTTTTGGGCTCTGAAGCAGCAGAATGCCCATAGTAGCAAGACTCAGGCCTTATGATAAAGCTCTCCACAGAGATCTTCAGGCTCCTCCTAGGCACATGCTGTACCTCCCATGCTGGGCCCTAGATGGGCTCAGCTGATGTTGAGGTTTTCTCTGTTGCAAGGGAAGGCGGCTGTGTTGACTGTGGCCGGTTAATAGCTCTGTGAAGCTGTCTGAGCTTGG